GCGAACGCGCTGCATAGAGCTTTGAAGTCTAGCCTCTGGTTTTCAGGCAGAGTCTGAAGAACATTCGCTGCTTCTGCTGTCACAGAAGCGGCGAGATGGGCTTTACCTTGAGAATCCCATCCATTCGTGTCCACCGCTATTGAAAATCTGCCAGGAGGTCATACCACCTTCTTCTGTCAAGGAACAAATCGAAGAGAGAGTTTCTGCCGTCGCCAAAGTTGACATTTTAAAGAAATGCATAGAGACAGCAGGAAGCAATGCTGATGGTTTTAAATTCTTACTAGTGTCTTTTCGTCTCTCTCTGAAGCTATCCACATATGATGGTATGACCTCCTGGCAGATTTTCTATAGCGGTGGACACGAATGGATGGGATTCTCAAGGTAAGGCCTGCCATCTCGCCGCTTCTGTGACAGCAGAAGCAGCGAATGTTCTTCAGACTCTGCTTGACAACCAGAGGCTAGACTTCAAAGCTCTATGCAGCGCGTTCGAGCTATACTTTGGCAAGAAATGTTTAAAAGACTTCAGGACATTTCAGAAGCTCGCCACAGATGTTGAAAGGCTGTCCCTACAGTACTTCATCGATGGCATCCTGGGTACTGACTGCAACCCAATCAGAGCTTCTCAAGTCCAAGAGCCAGTGAATCAAGTGATTGCGCATCTAGACGATTTAACCAGACAAGTTAATGCTTTGATACAGAATAGAAGTCACAAGCAATCCTCCCTAAAGTGCTGGAACTGCGGTACTGAAGGTCACCTACGAAAAAACTGCAGAACACTCCAGGGCACAGAAAATAAGAATGCTCCGCAGCAAGGACGCAAGAAACAAATCAGTGGCCATTTTGTGGAGCGGAGTTTGAAACATAATGAGCAACCTCATTTGAAAGTGCTTCAGATTTCTGCAGTGAGTGGTGCCAGTAATGTACTGTTCCATCACGAGACACATAAATGCAGTTCCTTGCAATGTGACCATCAATACAGGAGCCAATGTTACCATCACTCAAAAAGATTCGTCACAACAACCGGAAGGTAAACTCATCTGGACGCCGCTCTGCGTAACTTTACAGACTGTGTCCTTTAAGATGATTGACATCGACGAAAAATTAAACGTTAACATCATATTTGGAAGTGCCATCAGACGGCATACGTGGCAGATATTTTAGATCCTTGCATAGTCGGATTGGATTTTCTAAGGAAATTTAATTTTTCCTTACATTTTAAAAATAATGAACTGCATTCTGCCTTTGAGGACATAACCTTATTCGGAATTAATCTGTTCACTAAATCATAATTCAAGACGATATCTTGGTACCAGCAAGAAGAGAAATTTTACTTCCTGGATGCATAGCCGAAAACAGAAATTTCCAGTACGGTGTATTGGAATGTCCCAAGAAGTGTAACACTCTGCGAGAAGTACCAGTAACCTCGGCACTCGTTGACTTATCCTTATCTCCTTTCTTGCCAAAGTCCTTATCTCCTTTCTTCTTGCTTAAAAGCAATCTTGCTTTTAAGCAAGAAGAAAGGAGATAAGGACTTGGCGAACGCTGTTTCCTTCAGTCCGTGAGGAACCTGTCACCTGTTCTATCTTTTGCACTCGTCGACTTATCGAGGATAGTTATCCCAGTAAGAGCTGTCAACATCAGTGATAAAGCGAAAATCATTAGGAAAGGTTTAGTGATTGCAGCATATACTCCACTAACCAGCGTTAAACGAAACGGTAACTCTCCAGAAACCGTATCTTCAGAGAGCTTAACATCGGAGTTATTGCAGAATGCACAACCAAGCGATGAAGAGAGAAACGCTGCAGAATGTGTCAATGTTCAAGAAATTCAAGATGTTTTCTCGCGCTCAGCTTCTGATTTGGTTGAACCAGCTTAACATAGCATAGAGGTGATACCGACAGGGCATCATCCACCAATCAAGCACTAACCTAGACGTCTACCGATTGTTAAACAGGAAGAGGTCGAAAAACTTTTAAAGGACTTGCAAGGAAACAACGTTATCTAGCCTTCAGCTAGTCCTTCATCCTCTTCCATCGTCCTATACAGAAAAGATAGACAGTTTAACTAGATATTTGTGCTGATTATCGCCGGTTTAATCAGGTTTCGAAGAAAAACAGCTACCCTCTTCCTAGAATCACCGATATTCTGGACACTCTTTCTGGAAGCAAGTGGTTTTCGATGCTTGATTTAAACAGTGAATGGAGATATATCCTGGTGACCAAGAAAAGATGGCATTTACTACCAGACAAGGGCTTTTCCAATTCAAGGTGATGCCATTTAGATTATGTAATGTGCCGGGAATTTTCGAAGCCTAATAGAAACCTTGTTGAAAGGTCTTTCCTAAGAAGCCCGTCTGATTTACGTGGATGACATCATTATCTTCGTCGAGAAGAGTTTTGAAGAAAATTTAGAAAATCTTAAGAATGTGCTTTAGAAATTGAAGTAAGGCAATCTAAAGTTAAAGTCGCGCTAAATGTAAACTTTTCAGACAGAAAAGTGGCTTACCTTGGATATGTCATCTCTGCCAAAAGTATGTCTACGGATGCAGACAAAATGTCAGCAGTTGATTGGAGATGCTCCGAAAATGCACATCAGCTAAGAACGTTTTTGTGGCTTTGAACCTACTATACATGAGATTTGTGAAGGACTTTTCTTCCATCGCAAAGCCTCTTCACAAGCTGTAAAAGAGCAAGCAAATGTTCTTGTGGACAAAACAATGTGAGGATGCATTTAACAAAGTGAAAGTGGATTTAACATCTGTGACTATCCTGATGTATCCTCTGCTTGACAAACCCTTTATTCTAGACACAGATGAAAGCAATGATATTGTCGGGCTGTTATGATAAATAAGAAATAAACAGTCAAGAACGTGCCGTGTCATACTGGAGACGGCAGAAAAATTCTGATCCGCACAGATCATGCGTCTTTGACCTGGCTTTTATTTCAATAATCCTGAAGTCTAAACAGTCAGTTTAATACAGACACTCCATGAATATGGCATCTGTCATCGGAAAGGATCATCACGTGGTAACACCAACGCCTCGTCTAGACGACCTTGCGCAGAAAATTGCCGATATTGTCTCAGGGTTGAAGCGAAATGCAAGCTTCTTAATCTGGTCATACGGCAAGTTACAAATTCAGCATCAACTGATTGACACCCATGGAGTGACGAAGTCAGGAGAGGCCAGCTGGAATATAGCGACATTATACCCGGAATTGTATTAATTAATGAAGTCTTCAAAAACAAACCTACCTGGCAGGACATTTCGATCTATAGTCCTACGACAGAACAATATTGGGTTCTGTGGGACTCGCCCCATATTTGAAACGCCGTCTTATACCGGAAGTTCGAATCGGATCATGGAAAGACATTCCGATGGCAGCTGTCATCAGCATTACGCAAATCATACGATATGAATTAATCTAGAAATGACACAATGGGGAATCAAAAGGTTATTGCTAGTTTAAATTATATTTATTTACATACTATTTATCTTGGATATATATTTTTCCCAATGGCAAGCTCTTTTTATTTACAGGCATTGGGCACTACTAAGGCCGGAATCGGTGGTCGTTTTATTATGGAGGCACCTAATAGGTGGGCTACCATTATTTTCTATAAAGGGGATGGACAAATTACATCCATACCTTCCCAGTGACTCGAACCCTGGCCTTTCGGTATGGCTAACCACTTTCTCCTGTGGGTGGCTAATTGAAATATATTGACAATTAAATATTCAGTTTTCAGACTGATATCTAAAATGTTTGTTCTTCAGAGAAAACTTTCCAAGTGCGACAAAACTTGAGAATAAATATTAGCTATTTGTCTTATTTATAAAATTTTTGTTTGACAAATAAATTCATGTACATGTGAATAATTCTAAATTGTATTATGACAGAGCACCAGAGAAAATTTTCAAGAAATTATCATCATGGGTTTGATATTCATTGGTCAATTGAGTTTTTTCGTTAATTATCATCTGTGAGAAAAAGCTGTTCACATATAAATATATATCCCTAAACAAAGCGATTTTTCATTGGTCTTTAATGGTAATAAAAATTCTGCAAACTTAGACTCCAAATAATTAAAATCTTGAAATATTTGCAAGGAATAAATAACTGACCACTTAAAGCTACCTCGGGGCCGCCAGTTGATGAAATTGCTATCAAATGAGTCGATAAACAGTTATTTAAAAAAAAAAAAAACTGAAATTTTCAAAGGAAAGGAAATACGGTTATATATATATATTACATCAGTAAGCACACTTTTTGCAAAAATAGTTCAAGATAGGATTCGTGTTTTACTGTATTTTGCAAGTAGCAAAACACCATATAATTTTCTTAGGCTCATTTTTCTCTTAATGTTTGGAATACTTTTTTGGATTTACTGTTTGCGCAGTGCACACTGTTGCTTAGCAAGATAATTAAAATTATTTACTTTTTAATTCCTGTTAGAGCTTTTGTTACTAAAAACTTAATTTTAGCTATTTTCTAAAAATCATTAAGAGTCACTCTTGCCCAAATTTAGAATTGTTAACATAATTTCAAAAATTTGCATACTCTTAATTATATATTTCAAACATACAAGTATTTGAGATTTTTATTAATTTTATTCAATGTTTGCTATTTTAAGTAATTCTTAGTGTGGTGCCATTTTTGAAAAGCCTGTTGTCTCATTTCTTAGCTTGACAAAACAGCTAGTAGGCAAAAGTTGGCGACTTTTCATAGAGGTGTGCAGATAATCAGAAAATACTTAAACACTAGCCTGTAATTGCAGAATGATAACACCCACAGACAAGTGAGTGTTGATGTGGTCTTAATCAAACCTTCCATCTATCAGTCAACACTGCAATTTTCAGTTCAAATATCATTATTACTGTACCAATAAATTGGGATTTAACATAAAGAAAAACAAGAAATCAAGAATAAAAAAGAAAACAAGAGACAACATAAAAATGAACATAAAAAAAGAAGAGACAATTGTATATATGAAAAGCAAATTAGATATGAATTGTTTATTACGACAACACTATTATACAAAAAGTTTAATATACAAATATACAAAGAAATGCTTTATTCGCCATCTCGTGATAGCTAGCTAACAATACTTGTTCTAATTATAAAATCAATTATCGTATTTACTCGTATATTTCCCCCCTTAACCTTAGCACAAATTTTTGAAAAATTTTCAAGTAATTTTTTCCATTCCTGAAGACATTCAGAAAACCAGCTCCTCTACTTTTTAAAATGGATTCATTCACATAATGATTCTTTTCGTAGGTTGCAGTTGAAAATGTCGCAGAGAAAACAAGACAAGAGAAAAACATTGTCATACAAAACATCATGGAAGGAGAGAAAACAATATAGTTTTAAAACATTAGCATGGAAAAAGGTGAGTTAAAAAACTTTGTATTTTAAAAATATCGTGATAAGGGATAGAGCATTTACAAATCATTGCATGAACGATAACATCATAGATATACGTTTTCAGACTTTAAAAATTTTAAATGCATGTTAGCATAATGATCTGTGACAAGAAAGAATGAGGATAATTTTTTACCTCTGTATTTCATAATTTTGAATTTAAGTAATAGATTTTTATTGAAAAATCAAGGGAAGTTGAGCATTCAAAAACTGAAAATGAGTAAAAAATTAATGCTATGTTTAATAGTTAACAGAATTTTAGACTTATGTAGTTAACTATTAATAATTATTACTTACTTAATCTCTTTTATAAAATTAGACTGGTAGTGTGAACTTGCATTTAAAGCTTTACACTCTGAACATATGTTTGCAATGTTATCTTCATACAATGACTTATGCATGCTTTTCTTTCCTTGGGAAACAAACCCTTGCATGGAGATCGAGACTTTTAAGGAACCCCCCCCCCACCCCACACACACATCAAAGGTTTATTCTCCAGAAAGTACAAAGAATTTATTAGAGAAGATAAATTTTATGTTACTACGCTAGTGTCTTCCCACGGCAAAGAACCTGCAGACTTTTAGGAACGATATAACCAAGGACAGGAGGATGAAAATTGTCACTTTTTTTTTTTCCAGTTAATCTTTGGATTCAGTGAAAATTTATTCCCCTGTCACATTCTGCTTGACACTAGAATTATTGGATGAGATCATGGGCAGAAAAGATTGGACTATTTTTTTTTAATACCAGCAGGTTCCATTAAAATGGTTTACAGCACTCTCTACGAAGAGATTAAATATTATATTCAGAGCTTAAATTAATCCGGAGACCGGTTGAGCTATTTTTTATTTTTTTGCGTGGAATTGTAATTGCAGCCGAAACTCCAAATAAGTCAAGGTCCAGTACTTTATTCTAATATTTAATAAATTTTAATATTAATTGTTTAATTATTCTAATAACTAATTATTTAATTTTAATAATTAATTATTTAACTGTTTAATTATTAACTATTTTACTAGTCATTTTATTTATTCATTGCTCTTCTTTCTTGAGAGTCTTCCATAAGGTTCTGGCACTTCTAATTTTAGAACTTAAGCCCTGCCTCCTTGCATTCTTTTCATCCATGATTTTTTGCATGATATTTTTGTCTTGCACTGTTTTCTATGCGACATTTCCATTTTACCACTTGATTTGCTAATGGGTTTAGCACAGGTTCCGAATGGTGATGCAATAATAGCGAACAACCTTTTTTAATAACTAGAATATCTAATGCTTTTGATGGTGATCTTTGCACATGGGAAGACAGACTGAATGGTGATGAAAACAGTGACAAACTGCAAATTGTAGCAGATTGACACAAATAGAAGTTCCAACAGCATTGAATGATTTAAGGCCTAAGGGAGTAGCAGTGGACAACAGTGAGTGGGCAAGATTTAGGATACAGGGAAAAAGAAATGAAAATATCTTATTAGAATACTGTGATGTAAACATTATTAATTTTCCTCTCTCCATTTTTGCACAGTAAAATTAGTGAAAAAGGGGGAAAGGGAGTATGCGAGCAAATACGGTTAACTCATAAATATTTTTTCATTTACTGAAATGAAATAAAAAACATTATTCATTATATAAACAAGTCTTGATGCCATATTGGGAAATACAAATTCCATAAATAACTATCACAGCAAATATCAATTATACTTTGACATTCTTATGTGCTGGGTGTGGAGCGAATATAATAGTGGCTGGGTCACTGTAGGCACCACAACGGTTATTCACATCAATGGCTCTGATGGTGAAATGATAAGTATGTCCCTCTTGGAACTGAGTTAGAGTACATGCCATGGGTAGGCTCATAGCTTGAACAAGACCAATTTTTACCCATAATGAACTAGTTATGGGCGTCTGTTTTAATTCCTGGTAACCAAATATCTCGTAACTGCTGATTTTGACCTGATTGATATTCAAAGGCATATCCCACTGTAAAATTATACCTGCAAGGCAAATTGAACACTTTTAAACATGCACAAGAAAATATTGTGAATACTGATAATGATTTTGAAATTACAATACTCAAAACTGACACCTAATTTTGATAAAAAGTCTATTTTAAATCAAGTTAAAATCTTTATATTAGTGTCTCTTAATGTACTTAAATTGAAATTAATGACTACACTGGGATTTTGATAATCTACAAACTTCAACACCAAAGATTAGGTGGATTAGTAAATTTTATGTATTATAGGATCAGATCTTCTGTATCAAAGTTTTTTCCTTTATAATTTTTATAATATACTGGAATGTTCATACATAAATAAGTAACTAAAACACATTCATACCATAAGAACTATTACATCAAAATTGAATACATGGATCATTTCAACTTAGGTATTAACGAAATTATGCCAAATTGTCACCAACAATTTGGCATAAATATAGTCTGTCTCCCAAGTGAACGGTCCTCGCCAGATAGTCTGCTGCTGTAAAAATGAGCCCTAAACCCATTTTTCGTAAAGGTGTCTTGAAATTAAATCAAGATTAATTAATTGATTTCATAAAAGTGTCTTGAAAGAATTACTTTTCAATTTGCCATCCTGATACACTTAATGACAATCTGGCAATACTATTTTTTAAAATTTTAGTGGTGCAGCTAATGCTTTTGCCTCAGGGTGCATTCTCTAATTTGGTCACCTAAAGCAGTCCCTGAATTTGCTGCCCCTTTTGATATGTAAATGACTAAAAACATGTCAAAATAACTTCGGAAATAAATTAAAAATCTGCCTTTATTTTTGAAGAAAAATTTTAATTTCAACATTTTCACCTAAATTTATGTTATTGTTATTATTTATTATTATTATTATGTTGTTTACGAAACCTTCAATGACATCATAGAGGTTTACTGAATTGCCTCAGATGCTGTAATGTAAATAGTGCAGACTCATTTCTTAAATCCCAAATAAATTTTTATAGCTCTTAATTACTTCCTAAATGCAAAATAAACATTTATGATTCTAAAATACTTTCTAGAAGATTTTTATCTTGAAATCTCTTCTCACATGTGGCTACACTTCAAAAAATTATGAAGAAAGCTTGTAGTAGTATTATCATCATTTTGTGTTAAAAACTTTGTTCTGGAAAATGCACTTTAGGATAAACTACAAAAATTCAAAAAGATTGCCTTCAATGTTCCTGTTTCAATTTCCCTAGCAATATCAGAAATAAAACTCCCGAAATACTTCTCTCTTAACAAGTTAAGTTCTTCCTCATTAATGCCACTGTGATCAAAATTTAGTTGATATTTGGAATTTACAATCAAAAGTTTCAATGCAATAAAAAAGGTATAAGAAAGGTATGTAGCTGTTGAAATCTTGTGGAGATTTCTTTGAATACTTTATTTCAAGTAAAAACTTTTTTCCCCACCTCAATTTAATTCAGTAATGCAATTCATAATCTCATTATTCTTTACATGCTTTGATGATTCACATAATTAACACTTATAAATTAATGCTTCATGCAAAAAGTGGCAACCTAAAAAATGTGCCATCTGTGGTGGACCACTCTCCCTTCTAGCTACACCAACCACTGGGAATATTTAAAGCAGTTTTTAATTTTTTGAATGATGTTCAGTTATTTTTTTTTTTTATTTCACAATTTCTCTGTTAACTTATGCTTGTGTTTTAATAAGACTAAACATTTCATCAATAAATTGATATGGAATCATTTGAAAGTAAAAATGTTTATTTACATACCATATACCATACTCTCAATTACTACATTTTGTGAACAGTATTTCTTTTCCCATACCTTCAGACAAAGTCAAATGTAGGTCATTTTAATGGGAAACGTAAGCGGGAAAATTCAGCTAAAATCAAAACTGCTTTTATCTTAATTACCAAGCTTGATTCACATTTTAAGTATTATGCAGGTTTTTAAAGACACTGTATATTAACCCCTTAACTGTCGCGGAAAATGTACAAGATTCATTTCCCAGTGCTACGGTATTTCACACACGCATGCGTAGTTATGCGATGTATTAGGAGAAAATAAGGGCAAGTTTTACTTTCACAAAATAAAGAATAAAAGTAAAAAAAAAAATGAATGCACAAAATTTAATGTTTTCAGTAAAAGTATGATAAAAAGATGTAAGTATAATAAAAATGATGTTTTTATAATAAAAAAGGTTTCTAAAATGGAGTTTCGATCAAGTCATTTTTAAACCAGTAAAGTGTAATATCAGGCTTCAGTGTTATTCCTTGTGAAGTCTGTATGCCTAAAAAACATATATTTCTTCCGAACTGGTTGAATGCCATGATTTTGTTCTCGGGTTTTCGTTTGCAAGGTGTTGGCTCATATACTCGTCTACAAAACGGTTAGTTTCAGCAACAATATGAACCACGAGCAGTTCATCAAAAAATAATTCAAAAAAGATAAATGGGTTTGAAACATCCGTTATATATTTCTTTATTCCTGCAACCTACTACAAGTAGTAAACAAAAACGGAGGACACAGAATAAAAAAAATACATTTTACTCAAACAACACCAGCCAATACCGCGCATTCATTACTTTCACCTCTTTAGACACATTCCTCTCTCTAATTTCTCCCCACACTTCTCTGAAATAGTATCGTTCTTCACATACTTTGTCAAGGTCATTGTGGTGTTGCTTTCCAAAACTTTGCAAATAATTTTGCGGGTAGCAGCACAAAGCAAAAGATAGTATTTTGGAAGGGCGTATATATATGCTCGGGGCAGTTAACGCATCGGCTGATCAAGGCGTATATATAAGTTATAAGGCAGTTAAGGGGTTAAAATATTAAAATCAGAACAAAGTTAAGGCATTTTGAATTATTCAGGTACCCATTTTATATTTAAAACATGCATCAGAGATGTATAAATTATATACATTTGTATTTTATAACTACAATTAGTTTTGCTGCATTAACATAATTTTCAATTAATATTTTCGTAATAAAATGAGGTAAGTATTTATCAGCAAGCAATTATTCATCCAAAATACAATATCAGGTCTGAGAATTTTTCTTTTATTAATGCACTTTTTCCAGCAAAAATTCATTCAGTGGAGTCCTTTTTTCCCACGGGAAGTCCATTTTTTGTCTTAACATAGGCAGCAATTTTTGTACAGATGGTAATTTTTTTAGTTTGATATAAAAGTCTTGTATTGTCTGCCGTATAATATACTTATCAAAATTATCAATTTTGCAGTTTTGATCGGCAGGCCTTTTATGGTTGTTTCCAGGTGTACTCGGATAGTACCACTATTGATATTTCATGCCTATTTTTTTAAATGATATATATACTGAGATACTCCAGTCACTTGTGATGTTCTCTTCATAACCTGAGGGAAAGGAGCTACCGAAGAGTCTGCCGAAGCTTCAAAAGTGCAAAATTCTGTAACACTGTACAAGATTTGATATGCACTGCAACCAGTATTTGTGGTTAGCGTTGCTGACTGCCGTGTTGAAGGGCCCGACTTCGAATCCCAGTGAAGGCATGGATATTTGTAAATGTATAGTGTTCATGCAGCATGTGAGCACTCTAAATATGAGGCAAGCCGAAAATCCTCTCGATAGGTTGGTGGTAGAGAGAGAGGGGAGGGAGACCCTCAGACCCATTTACCCCAGGGTGCTTGCTCTCCATCAAAATTGGGGGCGGAACTGAGCTAAACTGCACTGTCACCTGTAAGGTGCTCAAGGCTGTTGCCAACGGCAGGAGTAAACTTGCACTCCTGGCCATGAGGAATTTTGTGGGCTTGGGTTGACTATAGGTCAGACAAGTGAGCATTAGCAACAACAACAGTTTTGACGTGCCTGAGAATTTTAAAGGTTTAATTTTTCTTTAACTAGAAGAGCATGTTAAAAAATTGGCAACTATCAAAGCATTACTAAAAGCAAGATAAATAGAAGGAGTTTTTAACAAATATTAATACAAAAGAAATAACAACGACAACAAAACTAAAAGTAATATAAAGCTGCAGGAGATGAATGGTAATCTTTTTCCCTCAGTCAAGATTCAACAAAAAACAAACTTGATTCACTTGATGAAATGGTTTTTTGATTTCTGGCATTTTTAGCATCAGATGATTCATGAAATGGGTATTTAGATTTACAGCAATGAAATATATTTTTCATGTCATATTTTTCCTGACAAAACAGGCTTTTATTTATTTATTTTTACTTCTGGTAATGCCACATATTTTGCATTAAAAACTAACATCTTTTTAAAAATAATTCTGGCAATTGCTATACATTTTCCAAGTGAGCAAATTGATTAAACAGGCTTCTTGATTTCTGGCAATGAAATATATTTTCATTACTAGCAAACTGATGAAATAGAATTTCTGGCAGTGATTTATATTTTCAATGTCAGCAGATTGGCGAAATGGAGTTTTTGATTTCTGGCAATGAAACATATTATTTTATTAATTCAGAAACTCTTATTTACCTTGAACACTCCTCTCATATAATTTATCTTTTATCAAATTATTTTTTTGATTAAATTTAGAAAAACTTTTCTTTGATGCAAAAATTCAATTTTGCATCAACAATGTTTTTTGTAAGCATTATTTTAAATGCTTAATATTGTTTAAATATAAATATACAAAAAAGTAATAATTAAATAATATACTATTTTAATAAAATAATAAATGATTAAATTTCAATATACTACTAATAATAATAATAATACATTTAATAAATAAGTATATAAATAAGAAAAATAATTAATTATAATTTAATTAATTAAGAAATAGTTAACCTTCTGGGAGGCAAAGTTTTTGAATCTGCTTATGAAGAGTAACTATACTTAAGCAGCTTCTACAGTCAAAAGTCTTTAATCTGGACTCGTCGGGACTTCGGCAATTCCGGATTATCGATTTTTCCGGATTACAGATCATCAGTTTAAATCTGGTAAGATGCCATGCAGAAATTATAAAATTAAAAATACAAAACCGTAATTTATGAAATAAAGAACAATTATGATCTAAAAAGTTATCAAAATTTACAAAAAAAAAAAAAAAAAAAAAAAAAAAAAAAAAAAAAAAAAAAAAGCTTAATATTTATTTGTTTACTTTATTAAACATTTCTTTCAATGTAAGTTGTTTAAGTTGCTTCGTTTTATGTGATAATACTTTCCCTTTAATTCTATAAACAGGCATAATTTCTTGTTCAGTTACAAAGTTCCGCTGTTCAAGTTCTATAATTGCTGTGTCAAGAATACCGACTAATTCGTCAATCGAAATTTTTTCGTTTTCAATAACCTCTGTGTCACTTTCTTCACTATCGGAAGCGAATTATAATGACGAGGAATTTGATTTAAATCATATCAAAGACGGCACTCCATCTTTGATACAGAGATGTACATTGAGATGAAATACTACATTTAGTAAGGAATTATAAGCCAAATAAAATAAAAACATCTGCCCTGAAGATAAGGATAGGGCTGACAGATCAACTTCCAGTTCATTGCGCGCCTCTATGCCCCCCCCCCCCCGCAGAGCAGCATGAAATTGATAAACAGATTTCGGAATGATTAAAGAAACAAAGGATATGCCTTTATCCATTTTTTACAGCAATTCTACTTTTTGTTTGATGGACATTGAAATATACTTTCCCTTTGTAGATCCTTTGGCAGCTTCAGAATCAGAAATTCAGGGTTAGTACGCATTTCTGCACAAGGAAATTAAGTACTTTTATGGACCATTAATGAAAAAATTTAAGGAACTATGAGCAAATGGGAATTGAATAAATTAAATTTAAAATATTATATCTATGCCTGAACGTTAGTAGAATGCATTATTATTAAACATAACTTAATTAATATAATTATTAATATGTTTAAGAATAAAATTAATTTTATGAAATTTATCAAGTAGCATTAAATATTTTACACTCATAATAACTGGACATATTTGAAAGAAGATAAGTGACATTTTAGTTACATTTTACTAACAGTTAGCTGCTTTTTTTTTTTTTTTTTTAATGTCTCGTTTTGTCACATACTTGTTCAGTCTAGAGGTTTAGTAAATAGTAAGTAGATTTTATGTCAAGCAGCATAATTAAAATGAGCATTAAATCATAATCAGCATGATTCATAACAAAAGATTGGCTCTTGTCACCGCTCCTGTTGATCAGAACAAACCTGAAAGGCCTGAATGCAGGCACAGTTAGCAAGTTTTGAAAGTTAGCTGACCTCTGTCTGACGCTGTTAGTGTTGTAGCTACGTGTAGATTTCCAGGGGTTGTAACTCAGTTAATATACTTTGAGGTTCTATTAAGCCACTAAAGCATTAGTGGTGATAAGTTGTTTTTGCATTAAGTCTCACTAGATGCAAAGAATAAGTTTCACATGAATTTTTATATTTTTGTGTTTTACCTTGTGACACGTTAAGGTTTAACACATTGAGCCCGGCGTCGTTTTTGTTCAGCCGACTTAAATTATTCATAAATTATATAAAGAAGGACATAAAATCTGAAAGTAATGTTCGAAATATTATGATGACAATTCAAAACTATTTGGATGCAAGATAGCCATAGTAATATGTGTAAAGCTAAGCTGTATTTTTGTTTAGAATGTTTCAATAAATTTCATTAAACCAACATTTGATCACATTTCATTGAGACTATACTTATTTTTTAACTTTAATACTGTCGGTCCAGCGGATCGACGCCAGCCAAACAAAAATTCCAGTGCCGGTTACCAGGGGCCGACGGTGGGCTTAGCGTATTAACGAAAGGGCAATAACTTGCTTTAATATAGAGAGATCACTTTTAAGAGAATGCATTTAGTTATAATTAAATTAGGTATTAGATAACCTTAGTCATTATGGATTTACATGGCCACTATTAAATTTATTTTTTAATAATATTTGGTAAAAAAATCTATTAATATCACAATCTCATAAAATTTCACAGTTTAAAATAAATTCAATTTATGGCATTGATGTTTAAACAATATTAGGATAATTACACATTAAAAGCTACAAAACATAAAACTCAACAAAATAATTATGTGTCTTTTTAATTTGAAGGCCTGCCCAGACATTTTGGCTAATTTATATCAATTTCCTTCTTTTTATGCATGTTTTCTAACAATTAGAAATTTGTCTCAATATGCAAAACAATGTTCTCATTAGTTTCTGCTTGTTTTATCTCCTAACTGCCAATCTCTCCACAATGTACTACCCATGAGCGTTACTTGATCTGGTAAAAGTTAAATAGTCCGATTCCCCCGACAGACGTGAAACAAATTATCACTATGTTTGAAAGTAACTATAAATCAGATAATAAATTTAAATAAAGGTTTAAATAAGATTATTATTCAAAAAGAAGTTGGAACATAAAGGCCTCTTCTTATGCTAACAAAATCAATTACAGTTTGTGGTGATATAATTAAACAAGAGTCAAATTCAAACTAAAAATATGGACTAGTGGTCAAAGACTATACAATTTAATTTCAATTTAATCTGGTTCAGTAACTCATGAATGAATGAATTGTCATAATAAACTCAAATGTCAGCAGCAGTAATGGAAAGACTAATAATTACAAATTATCAGAGCTGACAGAACTAATGCAGGGAGCAAGTGGAGGTCAGAAACACACTCGTCTCACACTCCCAAAACTTCAGTTTAAAAACTGTCTAAGCGATTTGCATTCTGGTGAGGAAATAGAAATGGGAAATTATAGTAAAGGTTGAAACTGTAAATAACTAGGTAATTTACATAATAATAACTGTACATATCTTTAAAGAATAATTTTCTTTCTCTTTACATATTTAGTTTCTTTTTCAACACCTTTCCTTTTCACTTTAAATTTTTGGGATTTAATTAAAGACTAAATGCATTTAGAATGCATGGAAAAAGCTGCTAATTTTATTTCTTTAGTAATACGAACATTCAGAAGAAATATGAAATACATATGGTAAAGTCTGGTCACAGAGCTGGTGTGGCATAATTTTTACAATTTAGGGACCCACTGAGCAACAAAATCTAGAAATGGCAAAATTTTTAGAATTTAGAGGAGGCATTGGAAGCAGAATTTAGAAAGGCACCAAGCAGCAGACTTTAGGATACACAGAGACTGTGTCAGGTGGAAAAATGCCTAATGCCAGCTCTGTGTATGATGCATTAATACATATTAGATGAACCTTTTGAATTGTCAGTTTTCAATTTTGTTAATAAAAAATTTCTTTCTATAATGCCTTTCCATATGATAAGATTAGAAGTACTTTTGATATTTTCCATGTTTGTATCTAGTGAAAAGTACAGAAAATAAAGGGAAGATAAAAATGTTAAGAAAGCGATTCTAGAATCAGAAGTAAAACATTCAACTGTTATATTTTCATTGTTCTTCCAGATGTTCTCCAAAATGTAAGAAACTGCACATTACCACCATGGAGACATTTTTCATTTTATCACATTTTTCTGGAATCTTTTAGAATTGTGGGTCTATAAATTTGCCTTAAAATCTTTTCAAACTTTACAAGCTTCAATGTCTAAATTCCTAAAGAAAAATTACCCCTACCAATTTTGTAACAGCAAAAAGCCAGAAATGCTTTTTAAAAAAATTGGAGGGAAAAAGCGTGAAATTAATTTTATAGAGAAAACTGATGCATTTTCTGAGAATTCTGATCATTCTGAGAAATGGGATTCTTACCATGAAAAAATTAAAAAGACATTTTTAATTAATTACATAGCGATTTTTCTTTTGCCAAAAACTGTTTTGTAAATTGTGCTTTATAGCATTATTCCTTGCTTATTTTTCAGATTCAAAAAATTGTATAATATGTGGCCAAAATGGAACTTTATAATATGACAGTGAAAAATAAAAATGCTTTATTTTAATGTTATTTCTTAAATATAATTCCAATATATTACCATTATTTTAATGAAATTTATCAATGTTAGAATGTTCTAAAAAAATCGTCAAAAAATTCCCAGATCTTGGAATTAAAAATTCTCTATAGAAACCGATCTTAAAATCGCCAAATTTAGAACTGTTTAATAAAATAATTCACATCCTCAAAAGCAGAAAGTTGTTTGAGAGCTCTTTATTACAAAAAATGAAATAATTTTGAAATGCTTATGTTTCACTTTTTGTTCGTAAACTCGAGTATCCTACCATTATTTATATTATAAATATGAACAAATTATAACTCATGAACCCATTCAAAAAAAAAAAAAAAAAAAAATTCAGTGAATCGACAAAAATAATCCTGCAAAACGCTCGAGTATCCCTCATTTATATTAGAAATAGAAACAAATTATAACCCATGAATCCATTCAAAAGATAATGATATATGTCAGTGAACTGCCACAAATATTCCACCAAAATGCTAGTTCACACCCAAAATGCCAGTCATAAAAACAGACAGAAATTTCAGATGATTAAAATTAAGAACCTTCTGCTGATTTTGGCCAAAATTAAGGACTTTTAAGGACCAAAAATCGATTCCAAAAACTTAAATCTTAAGCAACTCTTTTAAAATTGCAAATCGCTGCTCTAACATCCGGATTAACAACGCAATCTTGCAACTTAACGAAATAGATAATGACTTATACCGTCCGTTAACATAAACTGCATAATTCGCATATCTTCTAATTTTCAGCTCTGTTTTCATAAACTTCCATTCACTAAAATGATATTATGTTTTTGAAGAAAGAGAATACAGACAAAGTAACAAATAATCACATGACCAGATAATGACAATCATGTCACTCAGGGAGTTGATTTAACAAATGTTAATAAAGTAGTAATTAAAGAGTCTATTACATCACATTTTCCTGTATCACTTTAAATAATTTGCAGAAATTTACGTAAATGCAGAGAAAATTTATTTTATGACTTTTGTAAATTCATACCCTGCTTTTCTGCAGATATCTTCAGCCGAGGTTTGGGTGGAGGCTCGGACGTTTTGTTGTAAGTTTCCACTGGCCAGACTGGTAAAGGTGCAGGATGTCTCAGCTGTGTTAAAAAGGAAAAATATTCACCATGCATGTTTTAAATAATATTATATTCTGAATGTATTCTTATTTTGAATATATTATTGTGTAGTGTATTTCTAAATAATATGTTATTATTTCTAAGATAAATGTATTCTTCTCCCCCCTTAAATAATCTTTCTTTAAATAATATAATTTTAATATCATCATAATGTTAGTATTTTACACTCAATATCTTAAGAAGGATCACACTGAAATTCATATATTATATTACAGATCTAAGAAATTTTAAACCAAATGGACTTAAAATTATCTAAACAGATACTATAACAACAAAGAATTACTCTTTTTAAAGTTAGTTTACCACTAGACCACTTGGGTTTTCTAAAAATTTTCAATTCAAAGTTTTTCTGTGCTTCCATGCCGCGTTGTGGCGCGCAAAACAGGGAAGGAAGGCGAACCTCCCTCCCCGTGTTCATAATGTTAGTATTTTACACTCAATATCTTAGAAGGATCACATTGAAATTCATATAATACATCTAAAAAATTTTAAACCAAATGGACTTAAAATTATCTAAACAGGTACTACAATAACAAAGAATTACTCTTTTTAAAGTTAGTTTACCATTCTAACAATACACTGGACATGGGTAAATTTTGCATTAAGAATTAAAACCACAACAATGTATGAAATACATAATCAGTAATTCTATTAACAGGAGACTTTTGTTTATTAAAAGAGAAAAATAGAAAATATTTTCTAAAGTTCCATTTTTTTAGCACAGAAAACACATCACAAAAGTATATTTCAAACACATAACTGAACTGCTTACTCCTGAAAGCACTGGTGGAGTAGTGCTAGAACTAGGGACAGGAACAGGACTTTTAAACTCTGAAGAAAAATAAAATAATTAAAAATTAGCACTAAAATAATAACACATATTTTAAACACGAATTCAACAATATCAACAAAATTAAAAATGTATTAAAAAGCCATTTTATGAACCTTTAAACATTATTATGGTAATAAAAGCTTTCAAAAATGCATCAGAGTAATGCCTAAGTAATTTAACATATATAAAACATGACAGTTTTCTAAATTAAGGGATTTATATATTTACATTTTTAATAAATTAGAGCAAAATTTTACCCCATTTAACAGATTAGATTTTATTTATGTCAGTTTTAGATATATATTTCTCTAAAAATATTTCAAAATACATTCTAAAATAATTCCTAAAAAATTTTAAGCAAAAAATAATCACAAAATATTTTTAAGCCAATTCATTATCCAACCACAAACTTTTGGAAATCATTTTGATAGTCCCTTTATAATCTAAGAATACAATCATACAGTATAAAAATTCCTAAATTTCAAATAACAGTTTATTTTAGCTCTTCATAAAAAATTTTAAAAATCTTTGGCAACAACAAGCTCTTGCGTTTCTGAGCTCTAAAGGACAGAATTTGAATGCTAGCTGAAAATGATAAAATCACTCAAGGTGCTAGAGGAAAAAAAAAGTTTTTTCTTTGAAGTCATTAAATAATATTATGAAGCTACACTACCCAATTAATAATAATGTCACATTTCCTATACTGTAAAAGCTAATTCCAGAATAGTTCAAGTAAAGTAAATTAAAATGTTTCAGGAACAGAATTTTCTCATGTGTTCTTACTGGACTTTCTTCTGAATGACTCCTCCTGCCTCAATGACCAGTAAAACTTCTATCTCCAGTGTCTGGCCCACATTCACAAGACCAACCAAAGCGACATGGCATATAATCAATATGATAAAAAAGAAATTTTGTATAATAATTAACAAGTAATAGGATTAATGCACATCTGTCACAAACATATGGCCAACACTGGACAGCATCGACGTGGCACAGGAACACACATTATGCATCAACTGCATTGAATCCATCATAGCACAGAATCCATATTGGTATGCAGTCAACATTGCATAATGTAGTGAAGAATTATAACTACAAACACCACATAATAAACAGCAAAAGAATTTGATTGAATTATTACTATTTTCGGGGACCTGCAGAGAGTCACCAATGATACTGAACTGACAACAGCATAATGGCAATTAACTAACAGTGGCATTAAGCTTATACCAGCATACTGGCTTGAAATTGATACTGGCACATAGGCATAGAACTGACATTATCATACAAACGTAGAATTGACAATAGCATAGATGCAATGAACAGAATTGACACCAGTATACCAACAATAAGCTAATACCAGCATATGGCACAAAACTGACACCAGCATACTAGCTTGGAACTGATACTGGCACCAGCTTAGAATTGACATTAAATAGGCATATCAGCATTGAACTAACACTAGCATACCTGCATAGAAGTGATATTGATACTATGGCATAAAACTGATAACCAGCACACTGGCAATGAACTGACATCAGCATATTGGCACAAAACTGGCATCAAGGTATAATGGCACTGAATTGACACTAGCATATCAAAGTAGAATAAATGCTGCCATACCAGTACGAACACCGGCATACCAGCAAAGAAATGACATTGCTATATCTACACTAAACTGACACTAGAGTTGGATTAATCACTCCCAGAGTTGGATTGATCATTAAGCAAAATAAGCAATTGCTCAGGGTATCAAGGAAAAAGGGGGCACCACCATACGGTATTTAGAAAGTTTAAAAAAAGGGGGGGGAGAGGTGAGGCATCGACAAAATTTCTTAAAGGAAAAGCAAAAGAGAAGAAATGGGGGGAAAATAGCGTAAATGTATGTGGGGACACCAAAATCTTTTATGTGCTTAAATTTTAGTCCACCTCTGAGCATACCAGTAAAAAACTGATGCCATCTTACTGGCATAGAATTAAAGTTGGCTTTGAACTAACACTGTCACAGAGCTGAAAATAGTTTTTTATCTGCTTTGTTGATCTTCTACCAGAAGACAGGCTGTCAATTTCTTGCAGTGCTTGTTCTGTATTGTATTAAATTTGTATTGTTCTGTATTGTATTGCCCAGTGTCCATAGGAAAAAGGAATAAAATGCCACAGTTGGGAAAACTATGATTTAATGGCTACAATGTAAAGACGTCTGTATTTGAAACAGCAAGTACCTGAAATCAAGTACAAAAAAAGTTAACAATCACTTATATTAGTTAGGATCTTACTTGGTGCAGTAGCAGCAGTAGCAGTAGCAGTAGCAGCAGCAGCAGTAGAATTACTTGCACTAGGAAGATCACTGTCATCAGTCAAATCGATGCATTCTATTTCCTTGTTATCTTGCGCAGGCTTAGGTGGAGGAACAACAGGTTTAGGAGGGAGTACTGGTCTTAATGGAGGGGCATTTAAAAGATTAGGAGGAACTTGACTTTTTATTAAGGATGGTGCTACTGGTGTAAGAGTGGCTTCAGCTTTAGGAATGGCTTCACTCATCTTAGCAAGGCACTAAAATGTATAAAGTCAATAAAAAAAATTTATTAAAGCCATACTACCATATGGTTGCTTTTTTTTTATTTTAGTGTAGTTTTGCCAGTTTGGTTTAGCCTTTTTTCTTGGTGATAGCTGCTTTTAGTACTTACGTATTAATGCAACCACCCTGGCACAATTTGGCAATTTTTTACACAAAGAAAAAGATATGATGGCATAAGTCATCATTCAGTTTGGTAATCACTCCCAGAATGTAATTTGGGCATTGCAAAGATCGCCAAAATGTTCATATATATCACAAGTCTGCAAATATCAACATATCAAAAAAAGACAAAATTTACCAATTTAAAGCACAGATTTTTAATTATTAAAAAGGTTGTGCTATGTACATGGGTTTTTCCTTTGTACACAGCAATCTTATTTAGAGGGGGGGGGAATCAGAGAACTGCATAAACTCAGGACAGTGCACAACCTCGGCGTGATCACAATTGCTCAAACAACAGTTGAACATTGAATTATACGAATGTATACAAAAATGGTGACATAGCTGCCTAAAGAATTTCACATTTTGAATTTGACAACTTTTACTTAGGTGAGTTCACTAATATGTAAGTACCCTGCTTTTTAACGTTCACATGTGCAACTACATTTTTTATCTAATCATAGTCTTAGTTTCATAATCATGGATTTCATTATTTGGGATCTGGAATATTGCACAGCAAATCATTCTTTTTTTTTTTTTTTTTTTTTTTTTTTTTTTTTAAATTGGGATACTGCATATTATATCTAATCTGCAGCACTTTTGGGGTTGTGCAAAGTAGAAAGGAAGACAGTGACCACAAACATTTATACTTTAACTGAATTTATTTAGTAGCGCAGCTAGAGATTTTCCCACCTGGGGCAGTCCTTCAAATTACTGATTACGGCAGCCTTTGAATTTTCTACACCTTATATCCTAGCAAATACCTTTAAAAAGGGTCAAAATGAGATACAAGGAAATAATTAAAACTCTACATTTATTTTCAAAGCAACTTTAATACCGATGCTTTAAAATTATATTATTTTGTACTTTAAAAAATACACTTTAATGTACTTTTTGGCTTTAATACTTAAAAAATAAATAAATAAATAAAATAATAAAAAGCAAGTTGGGGGTGAAAAATGACCTTGCAGTTCCTATTATAAAGTAACAGATTGTAGTATAGATAAATTCTCTACCCAGGAGAAATGAAAAACTGCATGCCATCTACAGTCATACACACCAGATTCTATGTCCAGCCACATCTCTGCTGCAGCTAAAGCGAACTTGTATCCAATTAGCGTAATTTCACTGAGCCCGGAAAGTATAATTTCATAAAAACATTTAATGATTTTGATGTTAAATCAAAAGTGTTGCTTTGGGAGGTACATTAATTTAGTTAATCATTCTGGTCCAACAATTCTATACTTTAGAGGCAACAGAAATTATACAGTGAGCTGCAATGAATGCAGTTTCTCTAACATAAAAACAACTTTTAATTATGCTCCAAAAAGGCCTGTATCACAGAAAAGTGCTTTAAAACATTTATTTTTAATGGCACAAAAGTACCTAATTGTTTAATAATTAACCCTTTAACTGTCAAGTTATTTTGATGATTTGGGTACACAAATTGTCAAATTTTTTTATTGCAAAAACCAAATGTTTAGTACAAAATAAAATATACTTAAGTAGTTAAAAATTGATATTTTGACGTACATGGGTAAACATTTTTAAAGTTTTGTTAGCCACTTGCATATTTTTATTTGAGGCAGCTGTCCACTCAACATGGCAGTTGGTAAAGTTCGCCTTCTAGTGGAGCATTATTTTCTAAAAATGAAAAAAATTACTATTTTCTAAAACATAAATAAATGATAAGTGAATACCTATTAGTAATTCAGTAATTCAGTTTTCTGTGGTACAAACTGGAAACACATTTTCCAAGCACAACCCAACTCCACAATCACTACACCAGAATCTTGATTTCCTTCCTTATCTTTTTCCCCATTTTCATCCTTTTTCGAACAACAACACTTTGCACTATCTTGTAGGCTCACGTTTCGCAGGAATAGGAGGAAAATGGGATATAAAATGTCGTTCAGTAAGACAGGCAGGGTTATCTATTGTAGGTGGTCTGCCAACATTCTTTTGTCCAGAAGCTGCATCATCATATTTATGTAAAAGCTCTTCTACAACTTGGATTCGAAATTCTAAAAATGTAATACGTTTCCCAACTACATTTTTATAGAGCAAATATGAGTTCCAGAGTACCTTGTCTAGTAAATGTAAAAGTATCTTTTTATAATATTTTATCTGACATTTTTGGATTGTTGGATGAAAGGATATTTCCTGATCACAGCGATCTACACCATAGTTAGACCGTAATTAGAAACAATCTTTGGCTTGAGTATATCTCCATTTTTTATTTTTGAGGCTGACCATGGAAGTATCATGAATACTGCTCATCAAGCACACATCCTTCATCTTCGGTTGAAGAATCTAAATCATCTATATAACGTTTCAAAGAACTGGACGCTATTTTACAACAAAAAGACCATGCACCTTGAACCAAATAACTTCTAACCTTTGAAATCTTCAGTAAAGTGCTGTCATCTATTGAACTGAGCGCACATTAACTTTTCCCGAGATACAGTCGGGTTTGACAAAGAGATGAAGCCGAAATAAACGTCTCCCGACATATATTCGGGTATAACAATACGATGCACTCAAAAAAAAATTACCCCGAGTAATACTCGGGCGTGACATTTTCGAACACTAGTGCTGTGCCCGAGATTATCTCGGGCACGACAGTTAAAAGGTTAATTATAGAACATGAAATAGAGATCAGCTTATTTCTTTCCTTGGAACCTTCTCAACGACATTTATGTTCTTTTAGGTATGCTGTTCTATTTTTCAGTATATATTGGCAATGTAGCCAAAATAGCAATAAAAATTTTTTAAAAAATCTGATGCGGACACCACATCACTTCCTCATATGCCTGTTATATTATGCACATTTTAAGCTGCATTTTATTTAAACTTATTTCATTTGAAACTGAGATATAATCCTCCAGTTCTTTAATAATAATAATATGTTAAAATTTTATAAGCGTCAACAATCTATCTATTGTACTATTTTTTTTAAATTTATTTTGATGTCACCATCAACAAAAAGGGAAACAAAAACATAAAAACATAGCATTGGAAGGTTAATAAATTTTAATTTACATTTCTAACATGTTTTTACCCTTTATCCTTTGAATAATGTGCCCTTTTGGCACTGCTGATTACAACAAAAAAGGGAGGTGTACAGCTAGGTACTATACGCTTCCCGAATACAAAATTACAACATTTTACAGCTAACTGTTTTCCAGTAATGCGACATATGTTAAGATACGTGCTACGTCTAAACTAGTCGAAATGGATTCGGGAACGTCCGAATAGTTATCTCCGTCAAAATTTGAAATTTTTGCAATTATAATATTTTCTTTACTTCGTACTATAAAGATCTAGTTAATTTACGTGTCCTTGGCTATTAGAACTTTAGTGAAGAGTCTAGTGACTATATTCTCTGACCATCTTACAACTATAAGGATAAAGTCCAAAGAAGGATTAAAATACGTTTTTATTCACTCAATAATAACATAATAATAATAATTTAAAAAAAAAACTGAAATGTTTCAGATTTTAAATTACGTCCAAAGGAGCGTTTTTTAACGTTTACTGTGTTACCTTTATTTATTAAATATCATGTTCTTTGCACTTGTAGAGTCATTAGGTTAATTGGAAGCAGAAAAGATGAAAAATACGCAACTGCCTTCGCCGGGAATCGAACCATGGACCTCTGGAATACCGGCCCAGCGTGCACAACCACTACACCACGAAGGACGCTAGGAAAGGCGGGAGGAATACCTTATACACTTAAACCATAAAAATTAGTTCAATAGCAATGTCACAAAATAATTTGAAAATGAGCCTATCTTTAGAATTTCTGATACACAGTTCGACGTGCTGGAGATAAAAAGGTAGTTTTTCATCAGTTTATTAGAATTCATTTACCCATTGTTTTTGTTTATCCTTTTATCTGCTTAAAGTCCACAGTTGTTGGAGTTTTGCGATAAAAAAAAAGAGATAATATCTTAGAGTGAAAGATAAGATATGCATTTGTATACTACATATCTTTCTTCCTTTCCAATTTTGCAATTTCAGGGAATTTCTTGGTAATCAGTTCAATACTGCTTCTGATACAAGCATTACAGTTTTTTTAATTTTTAATGACAGGGCCATTAAGTACTTTATTTTTAAGCGTCTCGTGCCACCAATAAGTAATATGAGTGACACATGATGGGCTATTTTGCATATTATGAGTAGCTAAAAATAATGTGAAATATGAAAAATTGCCCAGAATTTTCTAAAGCTTTCCGAATATTTTGTAAGTAAGAATTTCAAATGGGTATATTACCTCCAGCTCTGCAAGATATCAGTGCTTTGGGACATGGATTCCCGCCCCTTAGAGATGTAACACAGCTATGGAAAATAAGTGTACTTAGATCAGACGATGTAGTGTGGTGTACTATATTGGCTTACTTGAAATCTTTTTCTCCCATCAGCAATCAAGAATTCAAAAATCATTTAAAGCTGCTGCTCGGAAATTCAAAGGTAGGAAAAACATTTATATCTCACTTAAAAAACTGTAATCTTTTTCTTGGCGAAGATGCACGATTATATGAAGAAGTTTTCAGAGACTTAATTTCACCTTTTACAGAAAAAATTAAATCTTTCTTTTCGGAGCAGAAAACAATGCAGCTATTTAGCTCCAAATTTTTCATTTCGTTCGAAACTTTTGAACAAAAATTCTCCAACTTCTCTTTATTTCCTTCCAAAGAAATTAAAGCAGCAGCTACTTTATTGTCACACGATATTGTGGTGATTTCATATACAAAGCGACTTTCTCGTATAGAAGTAGAGGGGATACTTCTTTACCCGGCTGTTTCTGATGTCA